ATTCAGCAGCAATTATTGCTCCAGCTACGGCACTTGACTATTAAGCACCGTGCCTCTGTTAACCGCTCACCAATGGAGGAGCGTGTCCAGATGAATGAGCATTTTCCTGTTTTTGCACAGAGAGGAGCCTGTGCTCGCTAAGTGATGCATTTAACTCCTATGGTTGGATAAGAGGAAACAAGCCAGAAAAATTGCCTCTGTGTGTGTATTACTGAAATGTACAAGTGGACTCAATGATGCCCTAATAAGAGATGGCGGAATGAAATTGTGGAATCGGCTCCCTTTTTGCTCCTACAGCTCAAACTTCTGGGCGGGGGACCATTTTATCAGTTTGATGACAACACTGGTCAGCAGTAGGCAAAGCCCCTTTTTGCTCCATCGTCCAAGCAGCTGATGCTTGTCAAATCATAGCTAGAAACCCAGACGATAACAGGATGGTTACTTGCCTGTTTTCTCCCCTCCAAAAGTAGAGATTAAGGGAGAAAGGTGAAGGAAACAAGAAGGCAATGGGTGAGTGGACCAGTTGCTGGTTGTCTGCAGGAACGCTCCGGCCGGCCAGCATCCGTTATTGACTACTGGGTGGGAATGGGGGTCCCAAGCCTTTGAGTTTTCAAGCACCTTTGGAATTCTGACACAGCATGGTTGGCACAGCCACAAAAAGCCTGCCCAGGAGACAGAGCCAGTTACAAAACAGCTGCCTGGCGTACCTTCAGTCACATAAGGAAGATCCCTGTGCTGTGGTGGTCACTGCTGCTGCAGCAGTGATATTTTTAAGAATCTGCACAGACAATCAAATCTCCAATGGCCAATCAGAAGCCTTGCTGGGCAAAAACCCCACCCGGCCTGCTCACTCTCTAAAAAACACTTGGCAGGCAGCAAGAAGGGTGCTGGCCAGTGCCATGCCACCCACAGGCACCATGCTGGGAACTCTTGGGCCGGAGAAGGACCCCCAGTGTCAGCTTGCTGCCATAAAGGCAGGTGGGAGGGGTACACTCACTCCTTGGATTGGAATGTACTTTCAGGTTTCCTGACTGCCCTGGTGATGCCCTCTTATCTGAATGTTTTATGTGCCTGTCCTTGACTGCTTTGCTGTAACATCTTCTCTGGGAGAGTAGGGACTGTTGTATTTTGGCGGACTTTTCTTTTCCCCTCATTGGCTCCTACCCACCCAGTGACCCCCTTTCAACCATGTATATCAGTTCATCCCGCGCTTTATGCTTTAGTCTTAACACAGAACCTGAAGTAGAGATGCCCTGCCAATACTGATCAATAAACTTTCTTCTGACGAAATGAGTTATTGATTCTGATTGCTGCAGGAGTCTGACACCCAGGTGGCATTGGCAACTGGTGTAACAATCCCTTAGAGAAAGGTCACAACTGCACCAGATTATTCAGGTCCTGCCTGATCCCATATCCAACCTGCCAGTAGATGGGTCCACAAAGGTAGCTCAATCCTAACTGTTCTCATATTTATGTCTCCAACACTAATTCTACAAAGGACTCCTGTGTAGAAATGTGCTCCACCTGAAATTGCCTAAGATATGACTGGCAGTTGTCTGATGAATGCAAGAGGCACTATGCTCCATCCTACATAACAGACTTACTGCTCTGAGCAAAGAGAATTATTTGCCAACATTCAACACCCCCACCTGCATTTTATCTGCTTATCAGCTTTTCCAACAGAGGCTTTGACCAAAAAACAATGAGCCCTTTCAGTGCAAAGTTAATGGATCTGTCAAAGAACTCACATCGGGGAGAGAGAGAGAGGCATTTTGTGCTTCGGATTGCCTGAAGTTTGGTTTGCCAACTACAGCTTCCATGGAAGTGAAAGAAAAGCAGTCTGGCGGTGCGCTGCAAGCCGCATTCCAAACCAGAAGTTGTACCGGCTTCAAGGCCTACCTAACCTCCCTCCGAGGACTGTTGTGAGGGTAGAATGAGAGAAGCAAGAATTGTGCACACCACGCTGAGCTCCTCCAAGGGGCAGAATAAAAACGGAAGACAGAAAGAGGGTGGAACGAGGACAACTGATGTAGCTCCACTGGTCTCCCCAAAAGAAGCTTTGCAATCGTAACACAGCAGCCACCTTGCCCGGCAACTGGTAGACAACTGTCCCATTAATCATCCTGGCTAACAGCCACTGATGGACCAGCCCTCCATGAATGTGCCTAAGCCCCTTTAAAACCATCGAGGCTAGCGGCCATCGCTGTGTCCTGAGGCAATGAGCGCCACAAGGCAATTATTACACGCTGTATGAAGAAGTACTTCTGCTGGCCTATCACACCACCCAGACTGTTTCTGAAAGTGGCCCAGGGGGTGGGTGAAAATTCATTCCCTAAAGACAGAATAAAATCACAGACAGGTCAAGCTGGCCAGCTCAGACACAGACATTCCAGTTCTTCCAGGCTTATAAAATAATAGTCTTATTAGGTTAATGATGCGGACCTGGTGTTTCATAAGCACAGACCGGCAAAGAAATGCTATCCTTCTTTTTGTCCACTGCCACGCTCTTTCACACATATTTCACAAAAATCAATTGCCTCAATGGAATCCCGACATCCTGCCAAGTTTTACATTTCACTCTAAACATCCATGCAATACATCCAAAAGGGGATGACATTCATATATCCTCTCCCCTAGCAAATAGCCAGGCGCTTAATTAAGTGAATGCTGAAAGGAATGCAAACGTGCCCTCCCCTTTCCCGGTCCAACTCGGGCTGTAGGCACTGAGGTACGAGGCATTTTACAGCTAACCTTTAGTAAGCTCGGAGTCTTTCCAAGACAGTCCAGGGAAATATGGGAGTCATGTTTCCAAGCAACTTTTTTTTTTGTCAGGGAAGCAGAGCTGCTGCAAACAGGTATAGGAAGCTGGTTTTCTCCTGACAACTAAGTCAGAAAATGCAGGAAGGCTGCTAAATAGGGAAATGCTCTCTCAGAAGCTCAGCAGAACAGTTGTGGCTGGCTACCGTGCTCGCCGTCCAAGTGACTGCTGCAGCAGGACCAAAAAGGAAACACACACACAATATTGGCTCACAAACCAATATGCAAGGCTCCACAATACTAGAGGGCCATTACTCTACAGCTTGCTTCTCACAGATGAGATGGTCACCCTGTGTCTGGGGCTGTCACCGTTTAGATGGCAGGAGGGATGGTGCACCCACAGAAAAAGCCCCCTGCAAAACTGCGGGAAGAGCCTCTCTTCTCAAGTAGCTGCCTGACACAGAAAACTGTGGGAAGAGCCTCTCTTCTCAAGTAGCTGCTTTCCAAGGGCAGGGAATTGTTTTTTAAATGCAAGAACACGAGAGGCAGCCCAGACACAGGCTGACCTACGGGAGCAATGAATGCAGGGGACCCTTTTGTGCTGGCTACAGCAAAACACACAACAGGCAAACACGACCATCCCCGTGATTTCTGCCTTTCAGCACAATCCGACTCTTGGCAGCTGATGGTATCTTGCTTGAATGTTGTGTTACACTGCACTATACAGCACGCACGTAAAACATTACGCTATTGTTCTCTTCCCTGACCTTTGGCTAAAACAGCTGCTGAAATAAGTCTTGAATGTACCAATGCTACAGGAGGCGAGAGGGCTAGGTTAGGACAGACCAAGGGGGCGAAAGGATCAGGGGACAGAAACGGACCCTTCTGACGCACAAACTAGTGCTGGAAAAAATCTTAGGCATGAGGCCAGCCAGGCTCTGAGAGAGCTGACACAGCTATCCTGCAGAGCCCCCGCCCCCGACCCAACGCTATACATCAGTGATACGGACACTGGGCGGTTGGCTTCAGCTCTCCCACAATGGCAAAAGGGCAAGCCTTTCTGTTGGGATTGGCGGCAGCCGCCACTGAGCCACTATGGATCTTTAACTCTGCTGCCACGTGTGGCATTTCATTCTCAGGAAACAATTTCTGGCATGCTGGAAAGGATGACGGGCTCCCTGCTTACCTAGAGAATGTTCCAGCCAACTGCAAAGGTGACCAAGGCGGCTGGCGCTGCTGACACTCTCTCTGTGTCTCTCACTCACGCAAGCACAATATTCTTCCTGCTTCCGTTCACTCTGGGGCTAAACAGGCCAGGGCAACGAGATACCCCATTTCTACCCCACCCCACAGCAGGGAGAAGAATCTCAACGAAAGACTGCCATGTTTATGACACGCTATCCATTCCCCTGGAGCCATGGCATTGTTCTTCTACCAACTAGAGAGTCATGACGGCTCAGAAGAATGAGTGTGGGGCAGCCCTGGGGACCAGAAGTTGAATAACTAGCTTGTGCAACCTGCACTGCCATAAATATAGCTACAATGAGCCACTGCAGTCCTCAGGGGATAGCATGCATCTCCCACTTAAAGAAATTCAGGGAGACACACAAATGCTGCCCAAAACGTTTTGAACTAAAACCTTTTCATCCTGATGACAGGAAGCAGACACTCCGGGTAACCACGCTAGTCAGAAGAGCCTCAACCGAAATATCATTTTATATCCATGCTTCTACTCCAGGAGGCACAGAAATTCCCAGGCGTGAGCCCTGCACAGGCTGTGGGTCTGATGGACTTGAAATCCACACGAATGCTTTGGCAAACATACACTTAAGCGGTAAAAGGCACCAGGGTCCATCAGCCGGCAATAAGCCCTCCAGTGCAGCCACCCCGTTAGCTGTGCACAGATGATTATAACATATCATAAATGATTTTATATTTTTTGAAAAATATTTTTACAATAATTTGTACATATATAATAAATCCTCTTAATCAAAAATATCAAAAATCATCTCCAAGAATCTCAAAAGCTATTGTACAACCTTTCATCACCCATTTCATCACAAATGCCTAGTTTGCAAACCAAACCATTATTTCTCCCCAAGAACAAATTATCTTTTTTTCCTGGCAAGGACAGGAGATTTCCCTCTCACATCACTGCCAGACTGGCGTTTTTGAAAAGTTCGATGCACATACATACATATTTAAAAATTCAGTGAGAACTACGCACCAGAAAACAAACTTACCTGGACATCATAGAGAGCGACGATATTCTCATGTTGAAGTTCCTGGGAAGGGGGGGGAGAAAACAAGAAATTCAGAGATTTGCTTCAAAATCAACACTGCAAGGAGAATCAGCAATTCAGCAGTGGTGCCTTGATGGGTGACGGGTCAGGATATGGGGAACAGTCACCAGTTTTCAGAAGTCCGACTGTTGTCCTCCAGATGCTTCCAAGACAGCCTGCCTGCCTTTTCCCGGGAAGATGCAGAAGAGAGGGCATTCTGAGCACCACAGAGCGCAAGGGGCCACTTCTGAGAAGGCCCAGCACTCCTTGCCTCCATCAATCTAACCGGAGACGAAGGTGGCAAAAGCAAAGCAAGGCCTCTGCTGATGCCCCGCTACAGCACAAGATGCGGCCCGAGACAGCCGGCGTGCAGGCTCACTGAGGGTTTTAAAAACTAAACCCAGCACTTTGCGTTATACTCAGAAACAAATCTGAAGTCAATGAAACTCTTCAGCGTAACAGTTTCATTCTCCCAATAGTAAGTACACACCACTACCATCTCCAACAGTCTTCAAGGGCAACCATACAGACCATACAGTCTTATATTAACATAGCTGGAAAATAATTTTAGGTGAGGCACTAGGTCAAGAGACTCATCTCCTGGTAGTTGAAGGGCATGTACGGGAGGAAACTCCCGTGGGGCAGAGCGGCAGCTCTCCAGGATCACCATCTGGGACCGACCTGGCAGGTAAGAGCACAACCGACTGCCAGGGGTTCTTCTGACTGCAAACCTGCTCATTGGCCAATCATCACCAATATTACAAAAGCAACAAGGACCCCCCCCCATTGGGAGGTTCAAGTGAAGAAAGCTCTACTGACCCATGGCTCAGTGGTATAGGGAAGGGAGGGACTGTGGATTAGAAGAAGAGATTGGATTTATACCCCGCCCTTCACTACCCAAAGGTGTCTCAGAGCGGCTTACAAACTCCTTCCCCTCCCCACAACAGACACCCTGTGAGGTAGGCGGGGCTCAGAGAGCTCTTGACAGAAACTGCTCTTTTTCAAGAACAGCTCTTATCAGAGCTACAGCTTGCCCAAGGCCATCCAGCCAGGTGCAAGTGGAGGAGTGGGGAATCAAACCCGGTTCTCCCAGATTAAGAGTCCACGCATGCGGAAGGTCCTGGGTTCGATTCCCAGGTATCTCCAGTTAAAAAGATCAGGTAGCAGGTGATGTGAGAGACCTCAGCCTGAGACCCTGGAGAGCCACTGCCAGTCTGAGTAGACAACACCGACCTTGATGGACCAGTGGCCTGTTTCAATACAAGGCGGCTTTTCTTGGGTCCCTGAGCAAGTCTGCCTTTCAAGAAACAAAAAGAGCCACTCCAAACTGCCTACGAATCTTTAATGAAAGAGAACTAGTTTCTAAAACTCACTGTAGCGTTAAGACATAATGTGGTGTTTTATAAGACTTGCTGCAGTTGCTCCTGCTGCATTTCACACAGGGCTGAATAATGGGTGGTGCCATCAAGGCATCCCTGCTCATTAAAAAAACCAGTGAAACTCTCAAACTAATGCTCAGAATAGTTACAATGCTTAAATTCTGAGGTAGCCTTAAAGTGTGGCTCAAGAAAGCATAATTCTACAACCAATGTATGGGGGGAGATTTCAGGCAGATGACAACCCCAAAAACGGGGCAAGGGGATGATAACAAAGGGTGCTTTAAAGGAAGAGTCGGGCACAAAAAGCGGCCCTGCATATGATAAACCTGGCACCCATACACTGTGTGAACTCCACCGCATTAGTAAGTTGCAAGGCCTGATGCCAAACTCCCAGGCAAGAGAGAAACCTGCAGTACAACAGGAAGCAAAGAGATGGGGGGTGGACAGAGAATGCTGTTACTTCTGCTTATGGGGTTGTAGGAGCTGGGGTGGCCATACAACAGAAGAGGACAGGGGCCGCATTCAGACATCCCCGCAAGCTGTGCTGTTCTGCTCAGGCCCCCTCCCTCCTCCTCTCAGTCCTCAATGAAACCGGAAAACATTCAATCAAGTGCCAATCTGCCATGGTGTCCAGATGCAGACACCTTAGGAAATCGCTTTCCCACCCCACAAGCCAAGATGCAAAACCTCAGTTAAAGCCCAGTTTTAGAGCGTCAGCTTAAGGGACTCAGGGGGCTACGAACTTCAATTCACCGTGACACCCGCGTCTGGAAGTCATGGTGAACTGCAGCTGGACCAAGCCGGGAAGTGTTCAGTCACACGCTGAATGTGAAAGGAGCTGGAAAGACGGCACAGGCACGAACGCAGCAATAAGCTGCATTTGCACCCAACTGTGCAATAAGCTGCATTTGCACCCAACTGGAGTTTAACTGCAGCTCGCCATGACACCAGATCAGCAAGAAGCCTGCTCAGCACTGACAACTGTGGCACCATCGCATTGATTTTTCTAAAGAACATGAAGGCATTCCCCTATAAACTTATCTGGGGCAGTGATGCTTTGTATATTTGGTGCCTGGGGGGGGGCAACAGTGGGAGGGCTTCTGGAGTTCTGGCCCCACAGGTGGACCTTCTGATGGCACCTGGGTTTTGGCCACTGTGTGACACAGTGTTGGACTGGACAGGCCACTGGCCTAATCCAACATAGCTTCTCTTATGTTCTTACATGAAATTGGCATAAAAACAAACTGGGAACACCAATGATGAAAATGGTGAAGACATAAAGACTCTTGACACCAGCATACAAAAAACAAAAAGGGCATCTTTGTCCATTCCTAGCGGCCATGTGTGCTGCTACCAAATCTATTTCTCTATACCTCACTTTACTAGTTCACAAAGCTAACCACACATTGCTCCTGCTGGATTGGTTCATGTTTTACTTGAGCCTCTAGATCATCCCAGAGTGACAGAAAGTAGGGAGAATTTTACCAGCCTCCCAAAGCTGCCACCCACAGTAGTTCAAGTCATAAATAGGAAGAGGTTTGTCTAAAAAACAACTCAGTGCAGTTACAAGATAAGCCAAACAGCACAAGTTGGTTTTGGCTCTATGACTACACAGGAGACAGACACAGGCAGTGTGAATTGTATGCTGCAACACCCTCTACCTCCAAATGCTGCACCAAGCAAATTCAAGATTTTTCATCCTGAACAAATGGGTTCTGTTACTGGTATAAGTTGTAAAAAAAGCCCACCAACCTTATGCACATTTGCTTATTTCACATAATTATCATACTGATTGCCTGAGACTGGCGTTAAAGAACTGTAAGACATTCTTCGCCCAACCACCAGAAATTTTATTCAACCAATCCACTGGCTTATGGAATTTCAGCAGAGACTGACCATCTGCTTACAAACAGACACGGCAGTCTTGCAGGATGTAAAACACAAAGCAGCACCCTTGTGGAAGCAGGTATAGATCTGGTCAATGTCTAGATGGGAGACTTCCTGGGACACACACTCCCCCCCAATCCCCAACAGCACTATCTTGAGTTCCATGATGGAATAAAGAGGGGATGTACATGTAATACAAATAAACACTGAGGGCCAGAAACATGCTGTGTATCAAAGAGGCTGACTTTATGGAAAATGTGAGTAAACCAAATGTCGAATGTGTTCATGGCCACACATATAAAAGATCGTTTCATGAGACCGCCCAAGCAGCCTGAAGGACTAGAAATTTGTCTTTTTGTGTGACCCATAAAGATTCTCAAGACGCTGGCTTCCGTGTCGAGTACCAAAGTCTAGGCTTTTCCTCTCTCTACTCAGAAATCGAAGAATAAAGCTCCGATAATACTCACATTTTCCATTCCCTCTGCCTAAAAGGCTCTCAGTCTCCACAACTAGTTCTAGAGATCAGAAGTAGCTCAGCCTCTGTTGTTCCCCCTCCAGTCCTCAGCTTTTACAAAGGATAAAAGGCATGAGTACTGGGAACTGCTGCGACTACCTGGAAACAAATATACAACAAGGAAAACTTTGGATGGTGATGACAAACCTACCTTTAAAATTTTTATCTCTTTCCCAAGCAGGATCTGAGACTTTGACAAGTTCTTTTTGTTAATGCTTTTAATAGCCACTTCCCAGTCAGTTTTCTGAAAGAGAGAGGAAAATGTGTTTTAGATTCAAAGGATTTCCCCCAAAAACTTGTCAAGCAAGAAACTAAGGAGTTCTGCACAAAAGTAAGAATGCCTAGACCCGTTCATTTTCTTATTTATGCGGACCAGATTTTATCGCCAAGTGAGGTCAACACAGGAAGCTTAAGATGATTGTGTGTAGCTAGCAGAGATACCAGCAGGCTGGTGCTACAGTTATAATCAGTGAGTATCTTAAGTGCAATGAATGCGAGCGACAGCTGGACCCAAAGGGCCAAATCAAGAGTACCAAATGAAACTCAGCAGTTAGCCCAGAGGAGAGGAGGGGAAATTATGCTTGTGGGAAAGGTTCCTAGGCAGTATACTCTGGGGTCAAGATTGTGGTCCACCATCTTCCATCCCCTCTTCCTTCACTGAGGCCTAAGGGCACAGGTGTGTTCTAAGCCTAGAATTCAAATCATGTCATTAAAAAAGGAACCCTGGTTTCATTTTTCATATGTTCACTAAAGGTGTCTTTAAGTGACCTCTGCAACATTATCAAGGCTTTCAAACAGAATATTTCGAATTCAATGTGGCCACAAAATGCAAACCTCCCCATCTATTTTATTCCAGAGCAGCCAAGACCTGTCTTCAATACACTTTTCTCCAGGCAAACGTAAGAACAGACTCTCACTTCAGCTCTCTCAAATTTTTACACCTGGGGTGCCTGACTAATCCGATTTTAGTCTTCCACCACTTCAGAGTTGGGTTTTTATTTGCTCAGTAGCCTGGCCAGCATGGCTAGTCATGTTTTAGTTACACAACACTTTTGTTTTCTATCAGTCAGCCGATGCTGTGATCTTTGAATCAAAACACTTCTGGGAAATAGAGAAGAAGAAAAATGACACAGAGCTATTTCGGAAAGCCAGAAAATTCCAAATAGCCTCTGTTTGTGCCACAGAAACGTCTAACTTTTTAAAAAGTGCCTTCCATTGTCTTTAAAGCTTCTTATAAACGAGACAGATAAACAGACCGATGAATGTACAAGGCATTTTACAAAAACATGAACAAGTCCCTGCCCCAAAGAATTTACAATCTACCTTTTGAGAATTTGGGGGGGGGGGGCTAATAATAAATGATTCTTTCTCTCATTCTTGCAGTGTTCACCAGTAGACAGCAGCCAATTTAATCTGATCTTCTGACAGACAAGGAATTGAGGCACCGAAGTGCCAGCTTGGCCCAAGGCCACTTACCGAGCTGTGGCAAAACAAGTTTACAAAGATTCCAGCAGAAATGTATGCCACGGAGGCACACGTACATTAAACCAATACAGAGTATGGGTTTTTTTAAAATTAAACAAAGGGCTAAGGAAGCACTGAAGCCATTCCAAGCTACATGGAAGGTAGACCTGGACCTGGACAGGCTTTCCTGGAAGGGACATAAAACCAATGCCCTCCCTCCTTCAAAAAAGTCTCATGACTCCTTCTATAATAAGGGCAGTGATGCTGGAAAAGGAGACACCTATGAAATCAGACGAATCTCAACCAATGTGAATAGTGCCAATTTTCCATTAGATCTGCAGTAATCACGTGAAAGGTGGAAAAAAAACCCCGAACCAACAGAACGCTGGCGACTGGTGCAAAAAAACTCCAATCTTCTCTGTCCTAGGCTGACATCTCTCTTGTCTCCACCTCCCCCCACCCTTCAGGCTTGAAGAGATCTACAAGAACAAGCAGAAAAGGGGGGGGAGCCCCCCTCCCTAACAGCTAGCATTTAGCAAAACATTGCTGCTCAAAGGGGGGGAGACCGAGACAGGAACCCACAACAACAGGCTGACATCATCACGCCTTTTCGACAAAAACAAAACAGGCGTGGATTTTACAGAAACACGGGCTCTGTAGCCCCCGCCACATCCGTGCCAGAAAGAAATCCCCACAGGCCGGCAGTTTCTGTCAGACCTCAGCAGGCGCCCCAGAACACTCAAGACCCTTTAAAGCAGCGGTGGCAAACCGTAAGAGCAATAAGGAAAACCTGTAGTGAAACGGGGGGGGGGGGGGGGGGAGTTAACGATAAAGGAGGCTGCTTCCTGGTTGCACCGGGGTCGATGTCTCTATCGATCCTGATCTTGCCTCTAATATCACGTACACTCGGCGCAACCTCCAATCCCCTCTGGGCAGGTGTGCAGCCAGCTAAGACAGAGGCTGAGAGGTGATGGGGACGGGGGACTCAAGACCACCACCACCACCCCTGCCCTCCCCCCATTGTTTTTACCTTGCGGTGACGACCTTTGAAGACCACAGCAAAGGCTCCATGTCCTATCAGGTCCTTCTTGCTGTATTCAAAATCCCCCACCACCTCCATCATCCCCAGGGGGCATGAAGCCCTTAAAATCCAGGAGGAGGGGGGGGTGAGAATAAAGGAGAAAGGGGGGCTAACCAGAGGAAGCTAAGCCAAGCTCACATCAGCACCCAGCCCGGTGGATGGGAAGAACAACGGGGTGCAGGGCAGGGGGACTCCTTGCCTCTCTTTCCTGACTGCTCCCAAGGGAAGATGGAGGGGGGGCAGCTGCCATCATGAGGCTCAGGGAGGTGCAAGCCGCCCCCCCAGGCAAAGGGGGTCGGGGGATACTGGCTGACTGCTCCGGCTTCCCAAAGGCTGCTAGCTTTTCCTGGCATGGGGAAAGGGAGGCAGGCAGGTGGACTGAGGTGTGCGTGTGGGGGGGTCAGGCTTCCTTTGGAGGGGGAAGGGGGCAGAGCTAGCGGCAGAAGAAAGCCGGCGTGGAAGGGACCTTCCGGGGCTTTATGAATAAGGACAGCAATTATTACGATGATGATTCTTAAAGGCAAAAGGCTTGCACTAAAGGAGGTCACCAGGCAATGGCGGTACATGGGGATTCTTAAGGCTACCTGGCATTCAAAGGGGTGGAGGGGAGCTATAATAGCACCTTTTCCAGGGGAGGAAGGGGTTAAGATGGTTCAAAGGGGGGTTATCTTTTAAAAGAGCGTTAGGGCTAGGCCAGCTCCCTTTATTTGCAATGAATCCCCCCCAGTGGGGAAACGATGTTGCTGGAAGAAGGTTAAAACAATAATACGAGCTCTTTGAAAAGAGAGGGCCAATCCTTTCTCCATGGAGAGTCAGGCCAGAGGATTAAGGGGGGGGGGGGGTTCGGTTGCAATGCAATGTTGCGGGCAGAGAAAACGGGCAATTAAAGACCCTCTGAAATGGGGCGAGAGATTAAGACATCTGGACAGGGAGAAGAAACGCACCCCCCCTTGAAGACGGGACAATAACCCTGAGTGAAGATATTGGGGGGGGGGGTGAAGACCCCTTAAAGGGGAGGCAGCCAATAATACCCTTGAGTGGCTCACCTCTTAAGGAGGAAAAATGGCATGAAGACACTTTACCGGGGGGGGGGGGACACTAAGGCTTTTTATAATGGGGTGGGGAAGGGGAAGCGGGGGGGCGCCCCCCCCCCTCAGTGGTCCCTCCTCATGGCCCACTTACATCCTCGCCCCCACCTCCTGGCTAAGCGGGGGGCTCCCGAGACGCCCCTCCCCCCCGAAAGCTAAATAAAGGGCCGAACCCAACTCCTCCCACTCCCGGGGCGGCTCCCGAGCCCAAAGTCCGGCTATTTCGCAGGCGGGTGGGCTGTATTTCCTCAGGCCGCCGCCTCTTGCTGCCGGAGTCCTCCTCTTCCGCCAGGTCAGCCTTCCCCACCAGCGTCCAGCTGCGAATGACGAGTCCTCCGCGCGGAGGGACAGTTCTTAAAGGACGCATCGCGAAGGCATATGACGCCTGGCTTCCTCCGCCAAAAAAAAAAGAGAGAGAAGAGGGCGGAGGAGAGGAGGAGGGAAAAGAGTCCGCGCGGGAAACTTGACGTCGCCTCCTCAAGGAGACGGTGTTCAGGGCGCAGTTTTGTTTTATCATCAAGCAGAGGTTTTTTCTAATAGATGTTTTTATTTTTAAACCATACACATAATAACTAAGCCACGCACAAATCCCCAAAGCTTCTGTTTGACAGGCAGCGATTAAGTGCAAAGCTGCTAAAGCTCTTTTTCAGGAAACTGGCTCCTGTTACCCAGGTTGCCAACTCCGTGTTGGGAAATTCTTGAAGACGAGTGGCAGAGCCTGGGGAGGATAGTTTAACAGGGATACAGTACCACAGAGTCCACCTTCCAAAGTTGCCTTTTTCTCCTGGGGAACTGATCTTTGTAGTCTAGAGCTCTCTTATACATTGGGTTGTCAATCTACAGGTAGGACCGGGAGGTTTCCCAGGATTGTTGCAACTGTCAGACTAAAGAGGCTGGTTCCCCTGAAGAAAACGGCTGCTTTGGAGGGTGAACACTTTGGCATTATACCCCTCTGAGGTCCCTCCTCAGGTTCCACCACCAAACCTCCAGGAATTTCGAACCTGGAGTTGGCAACCCTAAAAAGGGTCATCATCCCAATATTCTGTTTCCATTAGCAGCTAGGCAGAGAGGCCAACGAAGAAAATTTATTTATTTGGTTCAATTTCAATCCCACCCTTCCCACGAACGGGTTCAGGGCGGTTTACAACATTAATTACAGAACATTAAAACCAGACATCAAAAACTATTAAAGGGATTAAAGCAATAGCTTTTCCTTGCTGTTTGCCCCATAAGCAGAGGTATATTGCCTCTGACAATGGAGGTTCAGTTGCACTATCATATATCAATCTTTTTCAACACTGAAGTGCAGTGAAAACTGAAAGTTACACCTGCTCAACTTCAGCCTGTCATGTAGCTTTTCAAGATGCAGAAGAAGCAGCAGGGCTATTTTGGGGCAGGATCCAGCAGGAACTCATTAGCATAATAGGCCACACCCAACAGCAGAAACTCATTAGGATTGGCTACATGGGGGTGTGTGTGTGGCCTAACATGCAAAGGAGTTCCTGCTACAAAAAAGCCCTGGGTTTTGACAACAAACAAGGTAAACAGAATAAGAAGCAAAAGGTGGGTGTGGCTGGATGAGCACACTTCTGGTAACATGTGGGTGTGGCCTAATATGCTAATGAGTTTCTGGTGTTGGGTGTGGCCTATTATGCTAATGAGCTCCTGCTGGGCTTTTTCTACCAAAAAAGCCCTGAGCAGCAGCAACCCTCAAAGAGGGGGGGGGGATCAATAGGAGGCATACCTCTCCAAATAATACTTTGAATCTGTATTGCCCTACCTGCTGTTCAAAGCATTTCACATCAGTTATCAAAGTCATCTGCACAACAGCTCTCTAGGGTCAGCTAATGTAGTTACTGCTGCGGGAGTGAGACTGGGACAGAGGATGTTGCAGAGGTTGTATCTGACCCAGGGGCTCCCTAATCACTCAGTTTCTCAACCTTTACAATGATCACCTCTCCAGATATCTCTGACCATCAAGGCCAGCATTGTATAACAATTAACATCCCGGCCAACAACCAAGAGAAACTCTGCCCGCCTTGTCCCCTATGCTTTTTTGTTTGTTTGTTCAATTTAATTTTTTATTAAAATTTTCATAACATAGGGAAAAAAAGAAAAACGAATTAATAAGAATTAACAGTAACATCTTAACTAAACCAACTGGATGAACTTTCACAGCATACAGTCTTACATATGAGTATATTGTTAGAGCATAAACATTACAAAGACAGACAGAATCAGAAAAGTAACAGGTTTTTATACATTGGATTTTTAAGAACTATCTCACTGCTCTCTAAATATTCTATCACTGGGAACCAAACTGCCTGGAACACCTTTTGACTTTTAACTATGCTAGGTGACAACACGCATAAGACGAAATGCGACTATAAATAAAGCAATCCCACCCTTTCCTTTGCCAAAACGAAAGTGTGGGAATATTCTTTAGTCTCCATTTTTGTGCTATAGCCAATCTCGCTATGGATAGAAGATATTAATGGTTTTTTTTACTATTGTTTACTATAGATAAATACTATAGATATTGACCACTCCTCCAAGAAGACCGACTCCAACATACAAGGTAAGTCATATCCAGTAATAATTAGAATTTGCTTCAAAATTAAACTCCAAAACTCGTTTAGTTGAGGGCAGTACCACCAGTGGTGTATATAATCCCCTATGCTTTTAACACCACAAGTGAGACTCTGCAGCAGGGTAAACTTTCTGGAATGGAGGAGAAGCTCTGCTGTTTGTCAGTGGTATCAAGCTGCAGAGGTGCAGTCCTGGTAGAGGTAGTTGGCGCGCGGCGCACACGCACACACAGGCGCTGCTTGAGAAGCCATAAAGGGAAGGAGCAGTTCCCATTTTAATACTCTTGCTTAATAACCCTTCTGGCACTGCAGATGTGGTTTATGGGCATCACAAGATATATCTGGCCTATTACAACTTCCCTATCTTGGTGTTATGTGAGGAATTCATTCCATTCCCTAGTTTAGGGCTTACAAACACAGTTCAAGCCAGCCACCTGTAGGAAGCACCTTCAGGAAGCACCTTCCCTCCCTTCAATTACTTTAATCCTTGACTGCTTGTTATAATCTGATTGTCTGCACAGTCCAGGATTGTATTAAACTCACATATTGCTCTCCGCTGGATGATATCCTTGAAGAATGCACGTCTAAGTATGGACGGGCAGGGCTAAATCGAAACTGCCAGGGCTCAAGATTCTTTAGGAGAGTCGCTCGCACTCTCTTCAGGAAGCCCCAATGTGTGGGGCTGGCTCGGATTGCTTGCTATACATATTCAAGAACACCTGATCTTTTAATGTAAGGGACTGTGAAACTGCAAAGCGTGTCGCCTGAGCTTTACATCTGGAGGTGTGGAGGCGAGGACAGCATACTCTCTGCAGTACAAGAATATGCTGACTTTGCTGGTGCATTCTGACTAAAACAGACATTGACTGGAAGTTTGCAATTATGTTAGCGCAAAACAGTTTCCCAAAGTAGCCAGAAATGGTACATCCTCGCAGTGTTTTAACCCTCCTGCACCGCAATTCATCTTGCAATCTTCTTCACTAAATCTACAATAACACTCCTAAGACCTATTTAAAATCACCAATGCATGTACAAGACCGTAAAAGTTTGTAAAACAAAGGAAGCCAGGAGGCACTGCATGTGGGACAGCTATAAATCCCTAAGCAGTACAAGTGTAAGCAAAACATTCATGCACGCAATGCCAGACACAAAAATTTCTATTTGTGAACGAATCTTGCAACATTTGAAGCAGCAGATGAATTTTCTGCAAAGATGCATGTATGTGCAAATGCAATTCTTCCTATAGGTTTCAAATGCTACTAGCATATACTGACAGATAACAACGTTCTGTTTGCATGTTGGTTAGTCCCATGAAATACAGCTGACCTCCTTTATTAGGTAAATGCAGGAGTCATTTCGTAGAAAAAGAGGTGCAGGAGCTCATTAGCATAACTCATTAGCACAACTTATTTGCATATGCCACACCCCATGACATCACCGGAAGTGTGTCAGAAGGCAACACCCACCACTCCGGCTCCACTGGACTGTTTTGGATTGCTAGCTATTGGGGGGAGGGACGTGCAGATCTGTCCTCGCAGAGGAGGGAGAGCTTGTACCTGAATAAAACTTGGTCTTAAAGGTGCCACTGGACTGTTTTGGGCTCGGGGGCAGTGGGGGGGAGCTCTGCAACTTACCTGGCTGCTTCTTGCTCTGACTGAGGGCTGCTGGGAGCAAGGGGCTGCATGTGCCTGCCCACCCCCTGGGCTCTTTACTGCCGGAGCTCCGCTCCTGTGTGCTCCTGCAGGAAATGACCCCTGGGTAAATGTATTCTAATGTGTACCTACACACTTAACTCAGCTCCTAGGTTTTGGCTGGTCACGTTGACCCTGGGCTACATCGTTCTAGTAAAGGTAAAGGTTTCCCTTGCTCGAAAGCCAGTCGAATCCGTTTCCAAGCCGAAGAGCCAGCGCTGCCCACAGACGTTTCCGTGGTCATCTGGCCGGCATGACTAGATGCCAAGGAGTGCTGTTACCTTCCCACCAAAGCGGTACCTATTTATCTACTTGCAATTTCTTGCTTTCGAACTGCTAGGTTGGCAGGAGCTGGGGCCAGAGACGGGAGCTCACTTCATCTTGCGGCACTCGGGGCTAGGAATGCTGAACCACCGACCTTCCGGTCTGCAGTTCAGCGTCTTAACCCCTCGAGCCACCGCAGCCCCCCTACATCGTTCTACTCCTGTATAAACATTAGACCATGTAAAATATTTTACTAGGAGTAAGCAAAACAGCTCATCAACCAAAAGAGAGACTGCAACCAAGAAACCAGGAGGAGGCTGAGACAGGGAAGGGCAACCATGAAGGAGCTAGGGAAGATCCTTACGTGCAAGGAAGAATGAATGAATTTTATTGTTACGGCGCTTAGCCAGCAATAATGTGTAAGGAAGTGTAGCTGGTTACCA